AGCTTATTTTCTTTACTGTAATTTTCTATCTTGTATATTAAAATTTATAATATTGTAAAATAAAATATTTCTAAATTATATTTTAATTAAAATACAGAATATATAATTACGATGTGACCATAAATCATGATGCAATATACATATATACGTATGTCGTACAAATTCCATTTACACATGTGTACACAGACGAACCGACGCTTGACAAAATACAATTTCTCTATTTATGATACTTATATTACACCGTAAGCAAGGGAGTCATTTCAGTTTTTTTTTTTTTCTTTTGGCAGGAGAGATGTCTTTAAATAGACAAAATTAAAATTGAATCCATTTTCCTGCTTTTGATTTTTCTATAGATTATGGACCACGTCAAAATAAATAGTAAAAATCAATTTAAAATCAAAAACATAATTTATAATTCATTATTTTACCAGTGACAACCAATAATCGATGCATAAAAAGTCTAAAGAAGACAAATACAACACAAATAATAACAATAGTAATATTTAAATTTATAAATTTTTGTTTACATTTATAATTTGTATACAAGAAAAGCACAAAAAAATACATCTACAGATTTTTCTTAATTATTCTAGATTAATATTGTTAACTTATTTTTCAATATAAAATATATGAGATCATTTATAGTCTTTCATTGCCTATGGTGGTGCATTTACATATAACTTAACTATTTTGAGTGATGAAAAAAACCTGTCATTTGATATCGTTTTTACCAATAGCATAAGTTTTAATGTTTTAATAAAACGACACGAAAATCTTTCAGGCATATTACTGTAATAGCAATACAAGCATCCAATTCAATATCATATTTTTAATAGTAAATGCTTGTAAAAAAACTAAAGCTGGCTAATTGTAACTTAATCGTGTCCCTGTAGGCCGTAATTCTGTAATACATAAACTTACAAAGTTATACAAGCGCACCGTGATCTCATTTCGTTCAACTAATACCTATTTATTAATAGTAAAAGAGATACACTAAAATTATCCAATCTATAAGGATCAAACGAAATCTATACAGTAGCTAATCTCTTAATAAACATTTCAAGACACATTGTCACCCTCAGTTTGCACTTTAATATAATATACATTGTCATTTGTCATACAAGCGGGTATTAGCGCGTTCACACTTATAAGTATATTGCATTATGTACAATTAGCCGCATATTATTTAATTTATATGATTATTTATCTAAACAATAAATGTATTTATTAATTATTTCTTTCTACTGAACCTACTGCTATTTTCTTTACATCTTATTTATTTTTAAGACTTTAAATAATAAAATAATTATCAGCGTATTACAATCTAAGTACCATACTTATTTATTAATCATTAAAATGTATACTGCGTACAGACATACAGTATCATTATTTAAATCTTAAGCAATAAGCATAATTATTAAATCGTATTATTATTTAGATTTAAACAATTACTTAAGATCATTAGTAGAATAATATTATAATTTGGAACTTATTTTAAATATTTACCATTTAATTAGAATTAAATGCTGAGTAACTAAATTATAGTGCGAAGTTCAAGTAGCAAATATCAATCAATTGTTTGGAGAAATGACACACGATAGTCACGAATGTGGGAACTTTTAAAAATGTACATTAATTTACTATTCGATCATAGTATTAATTGCTTAATAACTTAAATTACATTGGGATGGCAATCAATATCTAAAATTGACGCACGTGAGCCATCAATGTATGAATCTTTAAAAGCTTACAATAATTTTCCATTCAATTAATAGTGCTTGTAATAACTTAAATTACATTAAACTCATCAATGTCTAAAAATATATTATACCCCACTTCTCTTCTTTATTTATATTTTTATTTTACTACAGTCTATATTCTACAATAATATGCTATATATAATATCATAAGCATCATAGACTGTATAAAAAACAAAACTATAATAAAGAAAAGAAGGTTTGACATACCATTTAAGTATGGAAAATCAGTTGGTTATAATTTAATTTGAACATTGCATTAACGAATTACGAAGGCAACTTATAATTTGTATAAATATTAAGCCATCATAAACTCAAAATTAATTATAGTGAGCCATTCAAGGCAAATTTATTAGGTATTTATTATTATTGACCATTGTGGATAAATCATTTATACAATTATTTAACTTATTATTGCTGTAATACTATTGCTTTAGTTATACATAAATGAAAAATTATAGCTTCCGCCTTAACTATTTCATTTTATTTATTCAAGATTATTCAATGTTCATAATATATTAATATAGATATTATCAATACAACTCGTTTATACCTTAAATCATATAATAATTTGAGGTATAAAGTTTTGATAAATTGCTATTATTATAGTGAAAATATCTAATCGACCAAATACATTTAAAAAAGTGACGTCAAACACACAAAAAAAAAATACAAAAAATATACCTACATTATTGTAAATAAACATTTATCGCTCTGCTCAGAATCTAATAGTAATTACAAATAATATTAAAGTTTTTTTTTAATTACAAATTCAAATAAATGTAAATATTTTTAGTATGGACTTTCTTGAAATAATTATAGTTTATTCTTTTCAAAAGATTTGTTTACATTAATTTTCCCATTCTGATACTGTTGACACAATTCAAGCAATATCTCTTCATTTGTTGTCGATTTGTCATTTAAATTCTAGTTTGAAGCTGTCAGCAAAAAAAATACAAACAAATTGTTATGACATGGCAAGAATAATAAGTACCTATTCAATAATACACATTACGATAAGCATATAGATAATTTCCAGTAACAAATATTTTTCGTTGATTCATAGGATCATAGAATTTAAATGTGCCTAAGTAGGAAGTACCATAATCACTATAAATGCGTTGAGTTTGTTCACTTTGGTGCCATGCTAATTAAAACGCATTTTTTTATCCTTTCAATTTTTATAATTTTATAATCTATTACTTGTTAATCGGTCAAACTCGTAACAAAGTAATCAGCGTAAATATTTTTAACTAGTTTTTTGTACAAGTCTGTGTTAAGTGTATAATGTACTATTATTATTTATCACATACTCGTATTATTATAATTCAATTTTTTTGTTTTTTAAATTTTAAATTATATAAATCCACATTTTTAATCATTTTTTTACGAATTAAAACGTTTAACACCGTAACGCAATGTTAACGGGATACAAAAAATGGCATATTATATGGACACGATGCTAGCGCTAGATTAACGTCTTATTCATATCATTAATCGATTTTAATTCTTTATAATTAAAACGTGTTTAACGTCGAAGGGGGCCTTTTAACTCTATTATGGCTTATTTCGAACTTTTATTTTCTATGACTAACTTTCTTCGACTTCTATAAATCCTAGTTGCGCGTGTTAGTTATAATTATTATTAATCGTCTTTTCGTAACACTCTAGACGCATGTCGCGTGACGTCTCGACGATAGACAACTTAATCGTTTATTTTTCGTTTATCAATTGTCAATACATAAATGAACGAGCGTTGGGCAGAAGTCTCGCTGGGGTTACTCGGTGATAAGCAAAAACTCGTAACGATGAGTTATAACGGTCGATAACCGACCAGTAATAATAACCGCAACCGGTGGCGCCGAGTCATATAAATTTAGGTGAAGTATAATCAAAATATTTTGGTAAATGGATTAGGAAATAATATGTTGTCTCTTCTAATAGGTAACTAATAAATAATGACTTTAGTTATTTATTTAATTATTTAGTATAGGTATTGGGTAATGTAAAATAAAAACACATATAAGTACAAATAAAACCACCCACTCTCTTTATTATATGAATCGATCGCTTTAGTTCGTGTGTGTCGGTTCGGCGCCACTGACCGCGACTATTAAAATCACGGACAGACGATGTTATTTTAATCGACTCAATAATAATATTATTTTATTGTCGTCGTTGTCGTTGTCATTGCCGGACACGAGCCACGCGGTACGGTCAGTAACAGCTCGATGGGTGGATGGAGGAGCAATAGGGGTAGTTGCCCCGGGCCTCACGCTTCAAAATTTTAATTTCGGCCGCACAGACAGCGATTCAAAGACCTTGTACATGTTTAATTTTTCCCAGGGCCCGGCAAACTCTAACGCCGTCGCTGGGTACGGCGACGTTGTTCGTTGGTGAAAAATCGCGTTCGAGATTATCCTAAAAAGCGACGGCGTAACGTCGGCTAGGTAAGGAGGCGAGGCGAATCACGCGCGTAGCTTTGACGCGATATACGCGCAGCACCGCTCGCGCGTTTGGAACCGTAAGTACAAATCATCGGCGCGCGCACGCACTTGATTTTTTTTTTTTCATTTTAATTTGGTTATACAGTGTGACACGGCGGAGCCGGCGCCGTCGCCGAAGAAGCGAGAAATCCGCACCTGAACCCGAACGACATTGGGCGCACCGCACGCACGGAACGCGACAACGACGTTACATTTCATGGACCCGTAGAGTTCCCGGGTTTTTTTCAACCGGTTATCGTGCGTGCGGTTCAACACGTGCGTGTTCCATTGTATTCTTTGTTATTCGTCAATATTTGTTTTCTCTGGTGCCCGTCCGCTCGCACGGCCGTACGGGCAGCAGCAGCAGGAGCAGCAACAGCGGTGCGTTACGCGCGCGGGACCCGTTCCTCCTCCGTTATCGCTTCGCCGAACAGACGCGGCACTGGACGAGATTTCGTGGAAACCGTTTCAGAGTCGTTCACACGACGACCCTTGGACGAAACGGCAACATTCTTCTCGCGTCCCGTCTACCCAATAATCACCTCTCGCACCCGCGCCCACCCACCGCCACCCCCGCCAAAATCACCGCGCGCCGAACGATTGTCATATCATTATAATATAATATTATTATTATTATTGTTACAGCCGCCGCCGCTGCCGCCGCCGCCGTTGTCATCGTCGACCACCGTGTGGCGCGTCGTCCCTCTCTCACGCGGTCTCGTTCATTCCCTCTCTGTCCCGCACACCAACAGAGTCGTCGCCGTTATCTCTCTCGGACCGTTCCGTTCTCACTCGTCGGCGGTCTCGTCGTCTCACTCGCTCGCGCTCCGTTTACACGCGCTCCAACCGGTGTGTACCGTGTGCGCTCGTCCCGACGACGACGTCGACCGGCGTTTAGACTGTTTAGACGTTTAGAGTTAGTGTTTCGCGTTTTGCCGGTCGCGCACGTCACGCCGCCGATCCTCCAGTTCCGTATCGATCTCATCCCGGATCGTCGTGTGTTCCACGTCCCGTCACGCCGCCATAACGCGGTAACAATATTATTGTCATTAAAGTAGCCCGTCGTCGTCACCGCCATCGCAGAAAACCGCGACAAGATACTTTAGGTAAGCGACCGCTGTACACCGTCATCCGGGCACGTGCACCGATTGTTATTTCGCCGGGCGCTTATCGTCGTCTCGTGTAAATCTTTCGTTGGCACTACACCCGCACCCGCTTAGTCGTTAAAAAATAAAAACAACACGCTCGTTTCCGGTATATTATCAAATTTTCTTCGCGATATTGCCGTCCTTATGACCCGAGCGCAGAACGGCGCGTTACGGGCGATCCTTTATTTTGTTTACCCGCGCAATAATATAATTTATAATAATTATTATATTATTGCGTAAGTACCTTTTTTTTTTTTTTTTTTTGTCCATCGTCAGCGCTCTCGCGATCTCTGACCACGTTTTCTGAATGTACCGACCTACCGCCGTCCAACCTTGGACAATTATTATTATGATTTTAACGCTTTTTTGTCCTGTAAATATGTTTTTGTATTTTGGCCTACTTACAATAAAACGGAGTGCAGACCGGCTTATTCTCGGTTTACCTTGGCGCGGGGTAGTCGTACACTACAAATGTATTGTCGTTTTGAATTTTGATTTCACCTGACATCGAACCATGTCCGTTTAAGGAGTTCAACATAGGCAATATAAAGTGTACTTGTGTACTAGCTGTGTAGTTGTATGCGCAGTAAATTATAACCGGCGTGTTCGCAGTGGTTGCCTATGAAAAAAAAAAGTGATTTTTCTTAGGGTATAAATGCATACATATTTTTAATTTCTGTGGAACTTGCAGCTCTCAAACTATTAATTACTAAACAAAGTTACTTGTATTTTGTACAATAAAAACAAAATGTCATATTTATTTTAAAAATTGTCATAGATTCTCTCTACAATTTTTTTTTTTTCCATAACAAAGTCAATAATTTCTTCAACATCAATATTGTTCATTACACTTTTCTTAAAACAGGAATACCTATAATAATAAATTATATTCAGCTGCCTAGTATTCGTTACAGCCCACTGACAAAAGTCCCGATATTCTGACAACATAGTCCGCCCGCCACTGTGCATGCAAAATCATAAATGATATAAAATGGAACTCGAATAAAACACACATATTACCATTGCATGTAAGAATGTCTTTTTTCTGATAAAAGTATAACATATTGTTTGTCATACAGATTGATCTAATCATCAGATAACACTTATGAAATCAAATTTTAATTTATGAACTTATACCTATTTTTTCTTTTTAAATTTTAATTATGATATTTCAATACTTGGCCATGAAATTTACAAAAAAAAAAAACCAATGTAAAGTAAAGCAATTGATCATGAAATAAATAAATTACTTGCTACCGTGGAAAAATGGATAGTTCTTATGTATTAAAATTGTTCATATAATAAGAGCTTACTTAGATAATATTGAACCTTGCATCATAATTAGCAGACTAAATTGACAGCATATAAGATGCCTATTTATGTTCATATGTTATGCAAATATACCTATAGTTTTGTTCTGTAATACCTATATAAAGATAAATATAATATTATGACAATAGCAAATAACATAAGTTGGGTTTAATCTGAGATCTAAACAACTAATTAGTAAGTATGTAGATATTTAATGTTGATTATTATAACTACCAGAATACAGTTCTTTACATATTTTATAAAGATATACAGTGAAATATGAAACAAATTTAAACCAATTAAGACTTTAAATTCTAAAAGACAATATACTCAAAATTAGAGATATTTTTAGAAATCAAAATATAATTTTATTACAATTAATTAATTTAAATACAAAAAATTAATAACTATAATTATCTAGCAAAGTGATTGATAAATTCAAATTATTTTACAACATTTAAATTGTTTTTAATTTATTATCATTTTGTCATGTTTTTAAGTTAAAATCATGAAATAAATATACTGTTTTCAATCATCTTATTGTCTATATATACCCAAATTATCAAATTAAAAATGATATTTAATTAATACATAATAACTACAGTATAAATATAACAAAATATTTACTAATGTTGAGAACCCTTGCAACCATTTTAGATTAATAAGCACATTAATAATAATAATAGTAGAGTAAGCAATATGTTCTTTTTTTTTTTAAACGACTGTGTCGCAAAGTTAGTCAAGTGTAAGAACCGATTAGTACAACACTGTGTTAACAATTATTTCTCTATAATTAATTTTTTAGTAATAAATGATTTAAAAAATTATATAGATTTTTGTTAGTGTTTGTCTAAAATCCCAAAAAATAACGAACTCTTTAATATTAAGTATACTCTTTGGAAATCAAACCAAAAGAGGATACAACACTAAGTACATAATATATAATTTTTATTTTACATTTACTACTTATTTGTGACATTTAATATTCATCATTTTACATTACCTTAGTTAAAATTAATTATTTTGTTTCAGAAATCATCAATATGGAAAAACATTTAAATAATAAACCTGGAGAAGATAAAGAATGTGATGGTAAACAATCAGACAAAAATGCATCTGGTGGTCATACAAATGGATTTGATTGGAATTCAACTGAAACCAACAATTATGAAAATAAAGCATGCACAAATTATACAGATTGGGATCCTACTAATAACAATGATCATACTGATAATGATAAACTAATTGAAGATTACTGTGAGAATAAAACTACAATTAATGAATCTCTAGATGATACAAATAATGATTATGGTGATTGGAATCAAACAAAATCTGAAGTTGAATATCAAACTGATACTTCTGATTATCATGAAAATAACAAACAAATCAATGTTGAATGTAATAATTCAAAATCCTTGTATGACTCTTGGGGAAATCTAGTATCTAATGACGAATGTAGTACAGATACTAGAAATTATTCAGAATTCAATGAATGTACCAAACAAAATAGTTACAATGATTATCTCCCTAAGGATTCCTGGAATAATGATGTTGAAACTTATAATTATCAAGAAAATGAAAATAACGGTTACTGTGGAAATGGTTACCAAAAAAACACACAGTTTCCAAGAAAATCAAATAATGATAAAGGCAATGGTAAAATTGAGAAACCTGTCATACAAAGACCAACTTATATTCCTCCAGAATTTGAAGAAAATGATGACCTAACACTAGAAGCCGGATTAAATTTTGAAAAATACGATAAAATTGAAGTAACAGTAAGTGGAATGGAAGTACCTAAAAACATAACATCATTTCATGATTCTGGTCTACGTCAAATATTAATAAACAATTTGACCAAATGTCATTACACTATTCCAACCCCAATTCAGAAGTATGCCATACCAATCATTATGAATGGAAAAGATATGATAGCTAGCGCTCAAACTGGTTCTGGAAAAACTGTTAGTAAAAAGAATTCTTTATATGCTTTAATAATTATATGTTAAATTGTAATTTATTTTTGATTTTCAGGCAGCTTTTGTTTTACCAATTTTAAACAATTTAATCAGTGAACCATCTGAATTAATTGTTGACTACAATCATTGTGAGCCACAAGTTTTAATCTTGTCACCCACTAGAGAGCTTGCTATACAAATATGTGAAGTTACAACTAGATTGAGCAGAGGTACTTCAATTAAATGTGAACTTCTTTATGGTGGAACAGCCACTTATCATCAAAAAGAAAGAATTCTGGTAAAATAAATAGTTATTTTATCAATAAATATATAAAATATTTTCTGTTTATTCACTACCACTACTTTCTATAGGTTTTCCAATAATTCACTATCATTAATCCACACACATATTATTTAGATTCTGGGGGCATGAAGTGTGCATATATTGTAGCATTGTTTTAAATAAATTCTCAGAACTGTAATGCTTATGCCCCATGTATTTGATCAAGTAGCTATTCATCATTAGTTGGTTGGTACCACACTATTTTTTATTCTGTGATTTTATTTTTCCCCAAGAACTCTCAATAGTATTAGTGTAAGCCAAAGAGTTAAGATCTAAAAAATTAGGGAAATGATTTACCGTTATGAGTTGAAAAGTTTGATCAAGCTCGCAGTAGAAGCGCCACAGCAACATGTTCAATGATAATTGAAAACAATGTACGTGCTGATCTGCTAGGAACAGGAACTAGAAAATTCTCTTTAGTTTCCTTACAAATGCTACCTAAAACCCATTGATTTGGTAATAACCTTCCTCCGTCATATTTCCATTTACTGAATTAATGGAAAAACTAACAAAAAAAGTAGTTCGTGAACTAATGGAAAAGGTCCAATATATAATAATTTTTATAATTTGTTTTTTCAGAGAGGTGTTCATATAATTGTAGCTACTCCAGGGCGTTTAATTGATTTTGTGAATCGAGGTTTAATTACTTTTTCATCTATGCGATTTTTTGTACTTGATGAAGCTGATCGGATGTTGGACATGGGTTTTTCACTTGATATTGAACGTATATTAAGTCATCCTACTATGGTGTCATCGGTAAATATTTGAATGTTTATTTTGAGTATACTTAAGCAATGCTAGACTAGCAATAACTTCTTTTGATATTCAATGTGTACCTAACAAATTTTTAAATATATAATATTAGCTATAACTAGCTAAGTTTGTATAACTATTATTTATATGTTTTATATATATATATACGTTTGAAAAAAAAGAAAATTTATTTAATTTTAGGCAGAAAGAACAACAGTCATGTTTTCAGCAACCTTGCCCATAGATGTTCAACTTATAGCAAGGTCTTATTTAAAACCACATTATATATCAGTAGCTGTTGGAGAGGTCGGAGGTGCTTGTAAAGATGTTACACAAACATTTATTGAAGTTAATAAGTTTAGTAAAAAAAATGCATTAGTTGCTTTGCTGAATGAAACAAGTAAATAAACTTTTTTAATCGGTTTATACTTAATATTATCATTTAAAAATTTATTATTTTTCTTTTAATTTTAGATTAATAATTTATCAATATTATTCATTATGTAAATGTATGTTATAGATGATTGTCAAGGAACAATTGTATTTGTTGAACAAAAAAGACAAGCCGATTTCATAGCAGCCTATCTAAGTGAACTAAATTACCCAACTACAAGCATACACGGAGATCGTGAACAACCAGAACGAGAAAAAGCTTTAAGAGATTTTAAAACAAAAAAAATGAAGATCTTGGTAGCCACTGCTGTGGCTGCTAGAGGACTAGGTATATTTAATTTGTATTTTATTACATCCTATAGGCCAGGGGTGTCCAACATTTTGTTAAGATTGGGCCACTTCATATTGGTAGAAGTTGTTGAGGATCACATATTTTTTAATAATAATACAAACAATATTTTGTTTTTGTTTATTGATAAATGAAATGCGATCATTGCCATGGACATATCTCCAATAATAAAATATTTTATCAAAATCGACTTAAGTTAATTGACTGATCACCCGTGTATAATTAATGTGTTCCCGTGTAATTACTATCAGACCCAATAAAGATATAAAACACTATTAAAGTTTATTTAATGTTTACTATTTTGTAGTTTTATATTCTTAAAATAAATTGTTTTTCATAATATTAATATATTACATACAATTAATTAATGGTTTTTAAATTGAAGTGAGGGTTGCATCAATGTCTACCACGAGCTGTGGGTTGGACACTCCTGCTTAGGCTTTCAATAATTTTATTTCTATTCTATCGTAGCAAATTATTTTGTCTATTACACCATTGTTCCTAGCATAATTATAAAATCTTTATTTTATTTAGATATGTTTAGTGTGTTTATGTTCATGTATTAATATTTATATTTAAAAATATAAATATTTACAATTAAAATAATTATTTTATACACAAAAAAGTACTGACACAAAAGCCAGCTCTTTTAAATATCTCGTTAAAACTGTTTATATGAAATTATAAATTTATAAATAAATAACAATTAGTTATTGAAAAATTAAATATTTCCATTTTCTACGTAATATTTTAAGACATTGTTATGTTTGTGAAAATTAAAATCAGAAGACGGTATGAATTATATCAATATATTAATATTTTTTTTTTTTTTTTTACTGCATTCTTTAATCTTTTGTATTTTATATTTATTTATTAATAATTTAATTATATTTAATTCATAGAATAGCAAAAGTTTAAATATATTACCTAATATTTTTGTATAATTGATTTTGAAAATTTAGAATCAACTTCCAGAAAATGGAATACACTAATACATTGTTAAAATTTATCTTTTAATTTATTGACATTATTACTGTAAAAAAAAAAAAAGATTAATTTAAATTTAAACTATATTTTTCATCTAATTAATATTTAAGTCGGCATTTAAAATTTTTTATTTTAGTTGTGTATATTTTGTACAAATTTATAATTGGTTCCAAATTAAAAAATATCAATTTAAGATTAAGTATTTATAATTTCTAAATTTTCAATTATCAGAATTCTATGATGGATATGTATAATAACTCTTGACATGTAATTTAGTTTAATATAAAATTAACAAAATCATGTTTTTATTTTGACAGATATAATGGGTGTTACGACGGTAGTGAATTTTGATTTACCAAAAACAATTGAAGAATATGTGCATAGAATTGGACGTACTGGTAGATTGGGAAATTCAGGACGGGCCGTTTCATTTTTTGATCCAGACAACGATTATGCCTTGGCTCCTTATTTAGTCAATACTCTTAAACTAGTAAATTACATTTATTTTTTTAACATTTTTTTATATTTACAGCTTACAATTATAATATTCATTATTTCAGGCTGATCAAAAAGTTCCAGAATTTTTATCTCAGTATAGCAGTGAAGTTCAGAAACCTTCGAATCAATTCAATGACATAAGATCGGTAAATAACCTATTTATTTTCCAATATAATTCTAATTAATTATTAAAATATTCATGTTAATGTTAATTTAATGGTTTGTTGCAAATTTTAATTTAATTTCAAGTAGGTATTGAAAAAAGTATGATAATTTACATTATAACTTTAAGCTTGCTTTCTTCGAGGGAGGAGATATACATTCCAAAATACATAGATTATTAAATCACATGAGCGTCAGGGGGGGGGACAAGGCACCTAATTGTAATAATGACGAAACATAATAATGTTCTATAATTTAAATGTATAATAATATCTAATTGTAATAATGACAAAACATAATAATTTACTATAAATAGAATGAATAAAAAATCTTCATTTATTTTTTAAATTAATTCCCCCCCCCCCACTATAAAAATGTGTGGTGATGCCAATGTTAAACCATCTATGTATACGTAATATTTATATTCCAGTTTGATGTAATGTATAAGAAATCCACATTTATGATTTATTGTTACTTATATTAAATTAAAACCTTAAACTAAATATTTTGAATTATATTTACACAAGTTTTTTTTTTTTTTTGTACACTGTTTTTGATAAATTTGACTTATATATATAAAAAAATGGTTGTTGATTATTCTTTATATTTTTCAACGCATAAAATTGCCAAAATGACTAAAACAATTCTAAAGCGAAAGCGTTTTGTACTACAAAAAGTATGATAATAATTATTATTATATATTTTTGTAAATGAAAATGCAAAAATTAAAATTTCAATGTTTTAGTTTTTGAGTATTTGGTTAATATAATGATGAATAAACTGAATACTCTATATTAATATAATCAGAACAAAAATAAATTTTCTTATTTAGCGTTATTTTAAATTTTAATAAAATAACATGAAAATTTTATTAAAGCTTATTTTATTTTCTAGGATGTTCCTGTAACATCTGAGTATGTCGAAGAAGTTGAAGAATGGTAATCTCACATTTTCACCATAATACCAAATTTAAACCAAAAAAATAACAGTGAATAAGCAATTTCAATTATTAATTTACTCAATGTGAATTTTTACTTGTTATAAGCTCAAATTTATATAATTTAACCTTTGCTACCATTTAATCTAACCCAATTTTTTTTCAATTGTATGTTGTTGTTTTTTTTATACATCATTAAAAAAAAATTTTAAGTTATAATTTATGAGTAAGGCCTATGACTGAAGACTTAAAAAAATATATAGGTTTAGTTTTTACTTATTATTCATTACTGTAAAAAAAATTGAATTTTAATTATTGTATAACAAATTAAGAATATTATTATGTTATAATAAAAAAAAAAAAAAAAAAATGCTGAAACTAAATTTTTAAAAAGAAATAGATTTTATGTAACTTTTATCTCAATCTGCAGTCTACTAATATATATATATACGAGTATATATATTTATATTTTGTTTGTTAAACCCGAATTCAGTACCAGAATTAAAAGATATCTAAATATCTAATAAATTATCTCTTAAAACATTAGCTCATCTCCAACTATAATTTATTGATCTGTGGTGAATTATATTATTTATTTTAGTTAATTATTTTTCTTACCCAATAAATTAATCTTTTTTTTTTTTACCAATATAAAAATATCATTGTATTGACCGTTTACAATATGTTTATTGTAAATAATTTAAAAATATAGGTACTTTTACAGTCTATTATAAAAATTAAAAATATAGTATTGTATATTTTAAACAATAATTTTTCTACTAATAACTTGGGTCTTACTTCTTAAATACTTATTTAAGATCAAATATTTATAAAAATGTATACATTTTAGCAAACGTTAAATTACTTTTTGAAATAACATCACTGTTTATAAATATTTTGTTTTATATTATAAGTAATAATGAAATAGTGCCATACATTTTTAAATTTACCTATATGATTTATTTATTTCTATTGTGTCTTAAACATAATTAAAAGATTCAGTTTATTGTAAACACAATTTGTGTATACAAGTTGCTAAAAATATAGTTTTTTGCAGTACAAATATTATTTTGCAATTTTTTTAAACTGTATGTTTACTTTGATATCATATAATATATTCATAAATTAAATAAAACTTACTGTAGTAATTTCAATTTCAATTATATTTGTAATGGTTACTGAACATTACAGTTAGATTAAAGAACCACTATTTTGTCTTTTGTTTTATGTAATTGTATTGTTATAACAGAAATAATGATTATAATTATTGTATTCCATTATTTTGTATTGTTAATATTTCATTATATTATTGTGTACTTAATATATTAAAAATAATAATAATAATAATAATGTTTTACTTTAATTTAAAAAAAAAGTACTCACAGTTTAAATTATTGTTTTTCCCCTTTTCACAAGTTTTTTAAGCCGATTATTTCTTAATGGCCTTTCTGTAACTTATATATTGTACAAAAAGATAAATTATAAATAATTTATAATTGTATTTTGATAATGTCTGACTGTTAGGGTGTAGAGATTACCACTGTATATCAGAACAGTTGTTCTTGGTGAGCAGTAGTGTGTATACCTTATGATTTTTTATAAAAGATAAGTTAATTTAAGGTTATAATACTAATAATATGTTATTAAATGATTTTAAATCAAATTGCTATTAATTAAAATATAACATCTATATTTTCTTGTAATAGTAGTATTAATGTAAATTTTGATGAACTCTCATTAATTGCTTAATTAATTAAACGCTTATAATAGTATTTTTAGTGTTAACATTTTATGTAAAACATGATTATTAGACAAATGATTTCAATTTTAATTTAAATGGGTTTATTAATATTAACTCAATTAGCTTACTCAATAAAAGTGATGGTGTTTCATGTTTACTGAACTAAAAAATACTTTTAACAATATTTTTTCTCTTATTCAATCTATTTTTAACTAAATATCTTGTGTGATATTTAACCATTCTCTTTTAAAAAGTGTATTGTAACACCTCTGAATAAAACTGATGATACATATTGTGGGAATCACAGAACAGTTTTATTGTTACAACACTAACATTTTTGAAAAATTTCTGTGGTCTAGAATCTTAGATTTTTTTAAATAAACATGACTTTGAGTAACCAATTTAGTTTTCTACCTAAAAAGTCAACTATAAAAATATGTACCCTTAGTTGATTTTGAACAAATTTGTTCATGTAAATCTTCATACTAAAAAAAAAAAGTGATAGGCATATTTCTAGATAGGTACGTAAAAAACTATTATGAAGCTAATTATGATATTTAAAAATATCTCAATTATACTGGTATAGCCTTTAAAACTTTTCAAACCTGACTTAGTAAAAGAACATATCTTGTCAGATTAAATGGTGTTCTTAGTAATTCGGTACCTAAATATTACATATAATATACCACAAGGAACTGTTCTACTGTTCTAGAGTCCATTTTGTTTCTTATTTTTATAAATAGACTATTTAATTTAAATTATGACTTAAATATTTCTTATTGTAATGATGATACCAGCTATATTACCATACATTGATAATTATAATGATTTTTATAAAAAATTAAATAGGCTATTACATTATATTAAGATTTGGTTAGATAATCATAAGCTTATGATAAATATTTCTAAATCTAAATAAATAATTTTTTAAATCATAGAATTCTCTTTAAAGTTTAAATCATAATATTCAGCTAAAATTAAATGTTTTTACTATAATTTTAGCTCTCAGGATGTTATTAATAGTAATTGTAATGGTTTACAAAAAAAAAATGTAATATAAATATTTTAATATTACATTAGATCATGAAATGGATATTAATAATTTGATTTCTACTTTATAAACATTTTTCTTTTTCTTTGAAGATGTAAAATAATATTTTTATATTAAACAATTTTCAATTATGGATTAATGTTTTGGGATCGCACCTATAATATACACCTTGAATAATTAAAAATCACAGTTAATAGTTTAATTAAATTTTTATTAAACAAACTAAAGCTTTATAGTACAAATTTTATTTTTGATGAACTTGATGTACATTTTGATACGATATTTTATATTAATGAATAATTAGTATTATATAAACATAAGCATTTACTGACCAATGTAAATCATAATTATAAGTTATAACACTAGGTATAAATGCAACATAAATATGGTTTAATACAACTTTTAGATCTCAATGCACACAAATTGAAGGCTCAAATTTGTGTGAAAAAATTGAACATTACTTTATAAAATTTCAATAAATTAAAGGAATTTAAATTACTTTTGAATGATCTTGATTTTTACAATGTTTGAACAAATATTTATATTTCTTTAAAATGTTTTCTGTTTTATAGTTTATTAGGTAATTATTTTATTTTTAATTAATTTTTAAAGACATCCATATGACGAAGGTACAAGTTAGGGTTACAATGAATGTTGCATATTGTTGTGTTTTATTTCTACTATGTATGTGTCTATCTATAAACGGAGATAATTATAATATTAAAATATATTAATATCATTGTTATAATAATTCAAAAAAATTATTCATGGAAGCTTAAAAATATATGTATATATTATATTTTACTATGTACAATGACATTTTTTTTCAAAATATGTTAGTTAATTTTAAGATACTACATATTTATACTAGTGTAGGCCAACGATATCGATAATTCGATACGATATCAATATCGTGGGTATTTGCTTAATCATTTCGGTATCGATATCTAAAAATAATTATCGCGATATCGGTGTGATTAATCGGGGAACAGAATTTTGTAGTGTTACGGATGATTAAACACTAAACTAAGTAAACAGTATAAAATAAAATTATATTTTATCTTATTTTATTATTATATCTGTAAAAGTAAATACTAAACGTAGATTATGATACGAGGCGATATTAATATGTTCCAAAGAAATAACTCACCACACCAAACAATTTAATCTAAATCCAGTACCAGTTGTTAACTCACGGTGAGACGTTATAATTATTTTCGTAATTATTACGATCGTTATTAATTTTATTATTAATTATACAAACAAAATGAGTGAAAACTTTAAATTAGAACCGTTGTCTGGTGCTAGAAGTGATATATGACAACATTTTGGTTTTAAAGTTAAAGAAAAGGGGATTATATTAAATAAAAATCAAGATTTTTGTAAAAAGTGCAAATGTGCTGTTGGTTATAGTGGAAATATTTTAATTAATTGTTAATTAATTTACACTCATAATATATTAAAACAATATGTATTCTATACTTTTAATATACTTTCAATACACTCATAATATAATATCTATTCTATACTTTTAATGTTTTAATATGCTTCGATATCGATATCGGTATTGAAAATTATATCGTTAGCCAACACTAATTTATACTATAAACTTATTCATACTGTTTTAAGGCAATTTGGTGTTAATTCGGAAGTTAATAACATAAATTCAATATGGTTTAAATCAGGGGTAACCAATTAATATTTTTGAAAGGCCGCATAAGAAATTTTAAAATTTTTTGCGGTCCATCAAAATTAAATCCTATGTATATATTTTTAACATACAATAGGTATTATTTTAAAATTATTTGTTATGAGAAGATTATTATATATATATATATGCTATTTATTCTTTATTCCTCGCCGGACCGCTATTTGGTAACTCCTGATTTAGATATGTATTATACGTATAATAAATAAATAAACTATAATAACTATAATTATATGATAAATGCAATGTTATCAACAAAAATTAATTCAACCTATTATATTAATTATATAAAATAAATTACTCTAATAGAAATATCAAAAAACATAATATCATGAAGTTTACTTAATATTAGATATAATTATCACTGGTTTAGCACGCAATAAGTGCGGTCCCAGACAACACTTTTATCACGCACTCGAGTAGGGAATAGGAGAAGGTGACCATAAATATATTCCTAACTGAATAAAATTATAACATAAACGAGATTAACTCGGACACGAATTGCGTCCAGTCGGTTTGGATATCCTTCGGTAACGGGCCCGTCCCACGTGCATGTCGCCTGCCAAGTGCGCTGCATTATATGTTTCGCGAGAAAAATTGTGGGAGCAAAAAGTCCTAACGGATCGAAAAACCTAGCAGTTAATGATAATATGCCGCGTTTAGTATAAATGATTGTCGAGTCTAAACTGAGCTCGCAACAAAAATAATTGTCATTCGGATGACAATGCAGGTCGAGCACTTTGGTTCCTACACTATCGTCATCTGCAAATTACGAGGACTTCACAGTGCGATGATCGGCAGGTAAGGTATTTAAATCACGTTGGACTGCAACCACATCTTCGACAATATTCGCGCCGTAACAAATGTCGTCAACGTAGGTGGTTTAACGCGTCGCGGACTGACGGGAACGGTACGCCGTCGCCGGCGGCTATCTCCTGTAGTACTCGGAGAGCTAAAAAGGGCGCACAATTAACTCCGTACGTTACGGTATTGAGCTCGTAATCGACCAATTGTTCATGTGGAGAGACCCGCCACAATATATGTTGATATGTACGGAACTCGGGCAATATTAAAATTTGACGATACATTTTACAAATGTCCGCCGTAAAGGCGTGCCGGAATAATCGGAACCATACCAGAATGTCGACTATATCGCGTTGCAGTTTAGGTCCGGGACATAGTGCATTGTTAAGGGACATTCCTGAAGGACACTTTGCTGACGCGTTAAAAATTACACGAATTTTGGTCTCCCCTTCATCGTCTTTACAAATGGCGTGATGTGGAATGTAATAACGTCCCGGTGTTTGAACGATTGACATAATATGTCCTAATTCGAGATATTCTGACAATAATTGTGTATATAACAATTTGAGCTTAGGATCGGACGCTAATTTTCATTCGAGTGATTCAAATCGTTTGACGGCCATATCACGCGATCGGGTAAAAATGCTATTTGTCACGGGTGTGCGAAATGGTAACGGCACGGAAAATCGACTTGACGCTAGTCGCGCACATTTGTCTCGAAAAATTGTCTCACAGCGCCCGTCATCGGTGAATGTTTCCGGGGCGGCCTCAGGTTCCTCATTACTCCAAAATCGATACATAAACCCAATAACACTTTTATCACGCACTCGAGTAGGGGATAGGAGAAGGTGACCATAAATATATTCCTAACTGAATAAAATTATTAACATAAATTATAGAAAACGCCGAAATTAACATTATGCGTGCCGCGTTTGCCGGGCGCTAAAAATATAATTATCAATACAAACGGTCTAAATGTCCTAATAAAGGTGGGCGCCCATGAGATAATAATAAAATTAATAATTTTTATACATAACAATAAAATTACAATAAATCAAACAGTATAACTAATGATAATATAAAAATAGTTTAAACATACCGACACCGCTCGAGCTCTGGCCTTGTGGTCCGGTACGCTGCAACAGTGATTATATTGAAATGAACGCCGCGTCACACCCGGTGACGAAAAACACCGTGTGAGATTCTGTGGCGGCAACACACAGAAGAGCTCGTTTAAACACGGGGTTGTTCGGACAACACGTTACACGACGCACACGAATATAATATAATAATTTCGAACGCTTTCACGCGCGGCGACGCCAATAGCATAATATAAAATTATAGGTGTATGACCACCAGCACGGCAACGCAACTATACGTATTTCTATGGCGACAACACACAGAACAACTCGTCGACCACGTGGTCCGAACAAGACGCGAAAAAGACGCAACTGCGGTGACGATTACGCGACGCCTACGGCAGGCGAAACAGGTAGACCGTCCGTTGCGGTCGACCGCTGGAAAAGAACAAAAAAGACGCGGCCGTTCAGGCGGCGTCGGCGAGCATGACACACCGGTGTCGCGAGAACCTTGGGCGGCAGCGGGGTGGAGACGTGTGCGTAAAAGCTCGCACCCGACGCACGATTGACTGAACTGGTTGTGCCATGAACGGCGCGAATTCGTGGTGGTTTAAACATATACTATAAACCTATTCATACTGTTTTAAGGCAATTTGTTGTTTATTCGGAAGTTAATAACATAAATGCAATATGGTTTAAATCAGGGGTAACCAATTAATATTTTTGAAGGGCCGCATTAGAAATTTTAAAATTTTTTGCGGCCCATCAAAATTAAATCCTATGTATGTATTTTTAACATATAATAGGTATTATTTTAAAATTGCTTGTAGTGAGAAGATTAGGTACTCGTCCAATACGCTATCTACCGCACGTTTGATGGTTTAGTATGCTATCTACCGTAAATATTCCATCTACCGTCATTTCACGTTAGTAAAGTATGATATTCCAAATCACGTTTTCAACTATTTTTCAGAATTTTTTTTAACCCACCACCACAAATTGCTTGGTTTTTAATTTTTTTACAAGTTTGATCGATTGGTAATAAACCGTGTATATTTAAAAAATGTTTGCATATCTCTTCATTTTGAATTATGTGTCGATATAAATAACTCATAGTTGACAAACTCATAATGATAATTATTAAATAATATTTAATAATAAATAAATCACAGTAAAGCCACGTATATAATCGACATGACTCACAAACACACACTAAACAGGTATAATATAAAGGTATACCTACTAACCTTCCTAACTTACTAAGGTATAAAATATAAATATAATATGATTTGGGTTTTCAATAAAAGCTTTATCTTAAATCTTAATTGCAAAATGATAAAGTATGTACTCGTATAATATACAGCATAAGGACATACGGTAGATATCATACTAAACTATAATAAAATTACAGTAGATAAAATATTTAAGGTAGATGGCATATTGGACAAGTACCGAAGATTATTTTTTATATATACGCTATTTATTCTTTATTCCTCGCCGGACCGCCATTTGGTAACTCCTGATTTAGATATGTGTAATACGTATAATAAATAAATAAACTATAATATCTATAATAATATGATAAATGCATTTGTTATCAACAAAAATTAATTTAACCCATCATATTAATTATATAAAATAAATTACTCTAATAGAAATATCAAAAAATATAATATCATGAAGTTTACTTAATATTAGATATAATTATCACAGTAATTCATTCAATACCTATCGCACAGTAGTCAGTAGAGTAGTACCCATTTGCTCATATTTTTTACTTATAATTCTCACTTGTGATAATAAAAGTACTAATAAATTTTAAATTTTGACCTATCAACAGTGCTAACTCAATCCAATTTGCTACCAGAAACTCCTTTCAAAGTTTGCAATTAAAGCACATTTTTACTAAAAAATGTATTATTAGGTACAAAATTTAAAAATAAACATACTTAACAGTAAAATTAAAAACTACATATTATCAATATACACAAAATAATATATTTTCCAAAAGTAGAAGAGGAAGAAGATTAAAATTAATTTTATTATTTAGATTTAAAAAAAAGAAAAGAAATTCAATGTTTATAAATATTTAATTGTTTATTAAAAAAGAAAACTAATTTTTGAAAGTTTTTGTTACAACTAAAAACAGTTTAATTTTATATTATTTTTAGTAGAACTCAAGCTTATTAAAATCATTGATTAAATATTTACTAATATTACAGTTGAAATGCAGTCAATCTTTCAAGTAGGTGTATGTAAATGTACACATATTTAAAATGAATTTGAAAATAGTTACAAGTATTATTTGTGTAATTGTGTTAGATATATATTTTATAAAATTTGTTTTTTTAATTTATTTAGTGGACACAGATATTTATAGCTACTGGTAAATTATTTAATTCATTTTCTTTTGGTTTTAAATCAAAGGTTATAAATCTGCATTTATTGTATACCAGATGAAATAGTAAAAAAAATGTTTAAGAAATAAATACGATTGTAATTATCAGAATTATATTTTAAATAAAAAAGAAAATTAAAAATTAATTTAAACATAGTGCAATCGTTCTACGTACTGTTAAATTACATTGAAATCAAGACTTAAAACACAAACCAAAACGCAATTATTAATAGTAATATTTTTAATAATTCAAATTTTCTTGTATAAACGCAAATAGTACAATATAAAATCAAAATGTAAAAAGTATTTATAACTTCATATTTAGACTAAACCTTACAATATAATTTCAGCGTATAGGTAGTATGTAGTTTCATATTCAAATGTCATTTCACAAAAGTATAATACAATACGATACGTTACAAATTTAAATTATGCAACCTTAGATACTATAATATATAAATAATATAATAATATAACTGTGGATAATTTATTCTTGCATTATTAAACTATAATATTTTTTAAAAATCAGATCGGTTCATAATAACGTCTAGCGAATAACGACTATATATGTCGATGTATAAAAAAAGGCTTATAAAGGGTAGATAAATAATATCATGTATCATAAATTAATGAGGCCTATCAAAACTGCAGAGCATTGCGATCGAGTATTCTAGTTAGATGTTTAACTGTTTTGAAATATCACGTTTAAAATAATTTATCAATAATACTATAATATATTGTATTGTGATTCTCTTGCTGTCATTTATTTTCAAAAAATGGGTATTACAACTGAACAATTAAGTATAAACTATAATAGATTGTATGTGAATAATAACTCGTTATACGAAATTTTTTGTTTGACAGTGATAAGTAATAATTACAATTATTGCAATAATAATAATAATAATACAAATAATAATATTAATAATAATAATGATGATGATAATACACTTGACACACTAATATACTCCAACACGATTGCATCCTAACTTAGACAATTTTAGCTTCATTCGACGGATTGCGCGGTGACATACAAAGATATAAAAAAAATCCTAAGAGAAAGAGAGAGAGAGCGGAGGGTACATGAGTGTCTGCAAAGGAGAGAGACATAAAGAAAATTTAGTTCTCCGGAATGTAGTTCGGATCATAGTAGCTCGTGTCAAAATTCTCCCTAGCCATCTGCTCATCGATCCAGTTTTTGAACAAAGCTACGTCCACGTATATGCCAGGTGTCTCGTCGCCGCATCCGATTCCCCATGCTACGATGCCGGCCTGATGATATTGTTCGGGATTATTATCAAGAGGACACACCAGAGGACTGCCACCATCACCCTGTGAAAATGTTTTATAATGTATTTATAAATAATAGATTAGACACTACATTATAAATTAGTAATTAGATTAGGAAGATTTATACCACAAATGAACTCGGAAATATTAAATAGTAACAAATATAATAATCATACCTATTTGTCTTATTAAAATATTAAACCTAAATGGTAATATATTTGATGTTAAATGTTGCAATTAACATTTTTCTTACTCTGTTCATAAAATATTAAGTAATTAGAACGTTAAGTAAAACACAAAATAGCTGTAAACCACATATTGTGAGGTAACCTACCTAAAGTATTGTAATGTGAAATTTATTAATTATTTTTTTCAATTATTTATCTAATCTATATTTATATAGTAATTGATTCTATATTTTTTAGGTGTCATCTACAAAATCTATTTTGTAATATAACCTGTATTTTTAATGTAATCGTATTTTATGTAGGTAATTACAAATTTTATTTATTAGATACTGAAGTTAGTAAAATAATGGCAAAATAAAAATAATAATAGTTTAAACATTCACTTGTAAAAAACTCAAATTACATTTTGAGAAGAATTAATATTTTAAATATAATTAAACACTTATTCTAAGTACTTAAGTCTTAAGTCAAATATAATTGATATTGTTTAATGTTGCGTAATATAGAAAATGTGTTTGAAAATGAACCACAAGCTTATAGTCTTATTTAAGAATCCAAATTTGTACATAATAAAATAGAAAATATAAGCTATGCAATAATATTTTTTTTTAAGTAATTGTTTTAAAACCCTATTATTTTTATTTTTTTAAACTTAAATAATTTCTTTTAGTATTAACGATGTATACCCGCACATATACATATACAAATATATATATATAATACGGCTTCTGTATCGTGTACTGTGTACTTAAACATTTTGTTTCTTTTCTGTGACTGTAACATAATAAAATACTAAAATAAAACACATAGCTATCAGTATGAGAGAAATAGGATAAATAAGACTTATTAATGAATAATGATAGCTCTGTAAAGTATAACCCAAATGTCCCAACTAATTATTTAAAAAATTAAAAATACGAACAAAACTTAAGTTCAGATAGTCACATTTATTAAATACAGGTAGGTATCAAATATTGAAAAAAAAACAGCTAGAATATTATGTCATAAAATAAAACTAATGATTTAAAACATTAATTTAATTAATACTTAAACATATAATAAGTAAATTAATATCTCTATCATAAATCATAATTAAATAGTTTGTTTAAATATAAAAAAAACGAATAATAGCTAAAGAACAATGATTTCAATGTACTTTGTATTATTTTCAATGTAAATAAGAAGAGATATCAAAGAGTTTTAAGTATACTGGAGTACTTACTTACAATCTACTCTAACCTAATCTACTTAGTGCTTACCTAAAACATTTTACTCAAATTTGTTTATTACATTTTTGAGAATTTAAAATTTTTTAAGATATTAAAATTTTAAAGATCATTAAAAGTTTTTAATCTATTACGTTAATCTATATTAATGCATTTTTTTATTTTAGATAGCAAAATACTAAATATATTATATTTATTAAATATAAAAAAAAGTTTTAAAACAAATTCATGGTTAGTAGATGGTATTATATGATAGAAAACACTTACTTGACAAGTATCTTTGCCTATTTCTCCACCGGCACAAATGAAACTCTCATGCAATTTGTAATTTTGACCCAACCTTGTCTTTCTTAACAGATCTAAACACGGATCACGTGGTACGATCGGCAAATCTATGCTTTTCAAAATGACTTGATATTCACCAGCTTTACCTTACGTCGAATCGAAAAAAAATTAAAAATAAATAACTATACGTATATAATACTTGCTTTAATTCATTATCAAAGTATTAGTTTTTTCAAGTTTTAATTATTTTTGTTATGTTTAAATCTTATTCAAAAAAATAATATATACTATCACATTATACTAACCACTACTTTATTTCACCGATATAAATAGATAATCTAATATCAGCGAAATTCACTATATAGGGATTAAGTATGATTTTACACGAAGTCAACATTTAGATAGGCATTTCAATTTATAAGTGGTAAGTTCCAACATAATGATAAAATAGTTTACACAGTCAAGTTCCCACAAAACAAATATGTTAATTTATTTACTTCGCGATTCATAACTAGTCGTTGGATTGTTGCTGATTGAATGGGAAATATCCATATTAGCTGTGTTGTTGTTGTGAATTTACTTGAATTTTTAGTACATGAACATTGAAATGTGTCCAAAATTTCAAACATCAATTTTTCTTAACTCTGACATGATTATTGCGAAAAAAAATCAATAGATTAATAGATTAATAAACCAATTCTTGAAGTTTTAATCGATTTAAATTTTTAAGCAGGAATAATTGAGAAAGTTATACTATTAGTAATATTTAATACTTATAAATTTATTTTAAAAACAGTTGGAATATATAAAAAAAAAAAGTGTAAATATGAAATATAAATAGTGTGTATTTTATTATTATTTATTACTATGATATAATAATAGTATATTAATATATTGTTGTAGCCTATAGGTATATAATATTCAGAAAGTTTATGTGAAAATGTGAAATAATAAACTTATTTTCTATTTTCTATAAAATATATATCACAATTTATTATTCATTGTATGAATATACTAAGAGATTATCTACGAATTTTATGTCTATTAAATCACCTTATTGGAACTTAAATATTTATATTTTTACCTGTTATCTTTAATGTAGGAACATAACTAGGTTGGCCCGTCCACCATAGATGAAAACCCTTATCCCTTATCTGTTACTAAATATACCGATAATTCTATAAATTAAAAAAATGTATTGATTCGTTACAAATGACAAATGAAAAAAAAAATCAAGAAAAAAAAATCATAAAAAAACCCAATTAAAATAATAACCATAGATAAAAAAACAAATTTTCATAAAAATACCCTTTTTTATTCAATACAATCTATTATTAATTGTTAAACTGGTTTATGTGTAACTTTAAAGTATTTGGTCTGTTTTGCAACAAAATTTAAAGAACTTTATTGATATATATCCAGGTAAAATATTTTTCCCGCGAAATTTATTTATACATACATTCATTAAATAATAAAAAGTAAAAATTAAAAATAAATACGTGTTATTAAGTAGGCACACTACCATATTGCACAATAGTATAGTAATATGTTGTATACACGTATTACATATTATAAATTAATTATAGCATTGATTTGATAAACTTTATTATAGATATTCTTATATAAATAGGAAGTAGGAACAAGTATGATTTAAATCTAATAATAAATAATAAGGTAGAAATTCTAAAAAATTAAATGTGTAACATTTGGTTATTTTTTTTAATTGGTTTTTTTTGTGGTTTTTTTTCTTTAACTATTAAAAATATACAAAACACAATAATAATGACGAGGTCACAGGATGATTTTAAATAGTTGGAAATGATTTTTGTGCTGATAAAGTTATGCAAACGAAAGGAAATAAGAAAACTTATTCTCTTATTCTTATTGCTGCAAAGTTTCAAGTTATCTACTAAATTATTAGGTATAATAAAAATTAGCTTTATAAATCCTACACAGCGATAATTAAAAGTATTGTATGCTTATTGTAATATATTTATAATCGAAAATTTGTATAATATAAAATTTAAAAGTGTTCAAAAATCAAAAACAATAATATTATACTTAATCATACAAAATGTTTTGAGTAATTTTTTTAAATTGTTTTAAATATTTTAGCATTAAAATCATCCCACTATTTACGACGAATGCACGAGAATACCTCTTATTGTGTTTTTCTTTTTTTTTGGTTAAATAAGGAAAATACACGTGTTATAAATGTTATAATATAGCAATCTTTTTTAAATAACATATTTTCAATTGATCATAAATTCTACTACAATATCTGCGAAAAATGTCACTTTTAGAAATTCAGTTTTTTTTTTAAAACCCTTATAGCATAGATGACAAATCACTTAATTTCTACATACTTTTAGACCAATAATCTATAGCGATGTTTTTAGTAGGCGTGAACTGTGGAGTACTTCGCACCTCTAAGTTGGGTACAAATAATCGGCGTCTTCTTGCGGATCTATTTGTTTTTTTTTTTTTTGTATGCATACCTCCTATTTCGTGTTATATTATGAGTACACTTAGTGATTAATTTGCCGTGAGTAGGGTGATTTAAAGAACGCAGTACCAGTACGGATCTTACACGGTGTACGCTGATACGCTCAATTAGAATAAATATTATTAAATTGAGTAACCACTAAGTTTTTAAACTACAATTTTAGATTTTGAACGTAGTGAAACATTTATTAATTTTCCAATAATGTAAGTTGTGTTGTTATATTCTACAGCATCATCTTTTGGAACAGTAAAATGATTTTCAACTTTTGGGCGGGTTTTTGGTAAAAAAATTGATCTAATTGTTACTCTAGGCCTAGAGTCTATAGGAACTCAAAAATAAAAAAATCCTTGTACCTTTTTTATAACTAAGAAAAATAAGAAAAAATGGGAATTTTAACTCTAGACCAGTTTTTGAGGAAATAATTTTTTAAATTTTTTTGTAGGTAATTCAAAAACAAATAACCGTAGAAACTTGAAATTTTCATTAATATAATTATTTTCCATTTAAAGTATTTAAACTATTTTGAACTATATTTATAGACAATTCAAATTTTAATTTTTATTGATAATGGATAAAAATTAAAAATGCTTAAGAATTTAATACAAGGCTCCTAATAAATTGTTAATTTCCCAGTTCAAAAATAATGAAAATTAATAGTCAAAATATATTTTTATAAATACCTATTTAAAGTTAAAATTTTGATAAAATTCGTTAAAAACTAGAAAATTTCTAATTATTCAGTACTTAAAAAGTTATGAAAAATTTTCTGTTTTTACCTAAAATTTAAAAATTAAATAAGAGTATTTTTATATGATTTGCAATCTATATTGTAAAAAAATATTCTACTGGTAAGTCAAATTAATTTTTTATGACCAATTGAAGTTAAAATTTTAACAATAGATCATCCATGAAATAATAAGTTTTCCTCAAACGATTTTTATTTTTTTAATAAAACTTTAAGTTTTCTCCAAATGTTTATATTATAATTTTCTATACAGGGTATAATTTTAAAAATATTTTGACACTTTTTAAAGTATTTATAGGCATGAGAAATTTTCAATTTTTTTTGCCAATAAAAAAAATATTTGATGGGTCAAAATTCTTAAAAATGTAATACAAGAACCCATTTAAGTTTTTTGTATAAAATTATTAAAAATACATATACACAATTATTTTTATATGTATTTGAAGTAGTAATGTTTACAACATTTTTCAAAATTATGAAAATTACAAAAACTACTAACTACAATTATTTTGAAGTAAAAAATGTAGGTATAAAATTTTTAATTTGATAGCTTTAATTTAAAAATTTAATATGATATTCTCATTAACATTTTATACTGTAACTAAATCTAAAAATATGTAAACACAATTATTTTTTATAAACATTTGAAAAAATTTAAATTTTAATAAAACTACGTATTTCAACAATGAATAACGATGTAAATTATTTTGTTGTAAATCAATTATGTTATTCGTGGGACGTGTTATTAGTACGTATATTATAATATTATGAATTTTATTACACGCAATTACAATTTGATTTATTCTAAGATATTATCTATTTATATTATGGACCTATTTTTAGTGATTTACTGTTTTTTCGGAATGATGTTGTTATACATTTTGAGTTATAAAAGTTAAACAAGTTAAATTAACAAATTAATTATACTAATAGTATATTATTATTCTAATTAAATATTAATAACGTAATACATGTAAAATTTCGGAAGAAATTGGTAAAATAAATTACTTTAATAAATTTATCAAAGACATAATATTATGAAGTGTATATTTAAAGATATAGACCGTCTTCGCTTAGAATCATTTTTTGTATGCAATGATATAACACTGAATTCAAATATATCACACACATACAATGACCCACTCAACATCAATGTAAAGCAGAGCGATATCACTTACCTACTTTTTTTTTCATATTTCAACTATATTAACTTATATGACTGCAAAGAAAACATGACTTTTAATCATTTTTAACGAATCACACATCAAATAAAGAAAATTTAAAAAAAATAAAAATTATAAAATTGTATGTATCTAATTCATCTCACAATTCATAAGTCTCCTACCAACAATATGTTGACTAGTTATTAGTTAATGATGGTGGAGGTAATGTCGATTCTGAAATGAGCATAGACATTTTTCGCAGATATTACAGCACCACTATACAATTATGCTGAATATAATTAATATAGGTACTAATAATTGTAATAATATTTAACAAATCAAAAACGGTACTCGTATACCATGCTTACCGAATATATTTTTACCCCAACCACTGGCATAGCATCTTTCTTTAGAGAACACGTAATTCTGATTGGGCAAACAGAGAGTGCCTACATTTTCTCTGAGTAAGAACGGCTGGGTAACAATGATTAGTGCCACGTCGTTGTAAAGTGCACCACCGTAGTATTTTTCGTGTTTGATTATTTTCAAAACCTGGCCGTCTTGTGATGGTAACAGTTCGTTTTCCGTTTGTGAATCCCATTCACCAGCGCGAATTATTAAATCATTTGGATCTTTGCTTTAGCGAGAAAAAAAATGTAATCATCACCAATAATACTATAACGTTGTATCAGTAAGGAAAAATGAGAGTTATGCAATGCAATTAAATCCCAAATTTAGAATAATATTTATATCCTGAACTTTTTAAAATTATTTTTCATACAAATATAAATCAGTGGTATAGTCAATTATCGATACATAGTAGTGATATTTGATATTAATAATATTACATTGATTTTAGAATTTATACATATTATAAATAATTTTCCTGTCATGTTTAGGAAACATGTTTTAAATCGACTGAATGTCTGAGTATAGCACTAATGATTTAAATTTTTAAAATAAATAACAGTTATTTTATAATTGTAAATTATAATAACAATATTATTTCTATTTCATTGAAATTTGACTGATGTAAATTAAACATTAATCGAGTAGTATAGTTGTTAATGAACTTAACCAAGTGTCATAACTGTGAAAATGCATTTTTCAATTATACATAATATTAATATTATAGGTATCCATATTATAAATTTTATATGAAATGAATCATTAGAATAATACATTTTAAGTAAATAACGTACCTACCTATTCGCCATAATTAAAAATATTAATAATAATAATACTCAGAAAATGATTATTTTTCTACAAAATATTATTTCCTGAAAATTCGATTTATTTTGTGAAGGTGTGAATTAATAATAGAAAATATCAATAGCAAGTATGCCGATTTCGGTAGTTTATATTTCGAAGGTAAAAATCCGTTTGAAAAAATAAATGCATTCATAATATCTAATATAATAAAGTATTTGAAAATTACAGTAGAACTTTCAATTACAATAAATAATAATAATAATAATAATAATAATTTATTAAAATTTTACCCGTGTATACAATGAACTGCAGTCAACACTACTTGTGGGTGAATCAGTGAACCACCACACAGGTAAGTTTTCGATTGGTTGTATGGATTTAATTTGAGAATCGCCATCATCCAGGGGAACTCACCGAATTGTGCTTCGTTATGGGAATTTCCAGTTATTCTAAATCCTACGCCAGCAGCGTTCCTATGACCACAGGTCGTACGCTTCTCCTTGTAAGATAGATTTGTAATCTCTGATGATTTCATAGGGTCGTAACAGCACACCTTCAAATAATCAGGACACGGACCTTCTTTAAACCTATAGATTAAACATAAAGGTGGTTATTTATGAGTTTATAATGGCTAATATGGCTAATATAATGGAGAAAATATAGAAATATATTCACTTTTAATTTGTCTATTTTTCCCCAAGAAACAATATGATTAAAAGCAGCATATTTATTTAGGCGTAAAATTCCGAAAAAGTACACTTATTAAGAATAATCGGATTTTAATAGTATTTATACATACTTGAGTTACTTATCAACCTATTTTTCTTAGTTGCTTACTATCGGAGAAAATTTTAGATCCAAAGTAATATCAAAATATTAATATTATATAATATTTAAAGGAAAGCGATTAATACATTGATTTTACAACTATTTGTTTATTTTTTTTTCTTTAACATATACGAATATACACAATAAGTAGTCGAAAAAATGCTTTGATGTTCAACTTTTATGGTGATTTTGAATAGAAAATTGTATCTAATATGTATTTTTGAGAGGTACTAATTAAAAATTTCAAATATTTTTTTAAATAACCGGGAAAACAAAAGAAAAAAATGGATATTTAAAATCTATTTATTTTATTATTATTTTTTTTGTGTGTAACTCGAAAACGAATAACCGTACTTATTTGAAAATTTTACTAAATGTTTATATAATTAATTTTCTATGTATATAGTTTTAAAAATATTTTTATTTTTTTGGCATTAAAAATTGAATAAAAAAATTTCCCTGGTTAAAAAGCTAGTTAAAATTCATCATAATCACGAAAATTTGAAAATAGTTTTGCATCAAAAGTTTATAAAATATAAAATTACTATAGCTAAGGCTTAAAAATGAATACAAAGTTCCTCGTAGGTATAGTTCATACGGGCGGTGGTCGTTTGGGCGAAGGTAATAATTTTTACCAAAAAAAATAATAGTCTGTTTAGGCGACTATCATTTGTACCGTTTGGGCGAGTGAATTTATTTTTACCTGCGTGCAAAGTAAAAACCGGGTGACAGATAGGTACTGATGATATTATTGCAATATTGCTAATCGTTATTAATCACTATTATCGAAAATAAGATTACGATTCAGACACGCTGTCCAAGTTATACATAATAACACTGTAGTGTGCTATGTGTAGTGTCTTGAATAATACTTTCATGTACAAATATTTAAAAATTAATTTTAACAATAATAGTCAGTTGTAAGTTTTTTTATTTTTTTATTTAAAAATCGAACATATTTTAACTACGAAAAGAGGTAAAAGATGTATAGTTATCGAACAGTTCAAGTACACGGAGTCAAATATAGCTGTAGACCCCTTATACTTTATATGATTTTTGACTTATTATTATTAATTATTCATATTTTATAAAACTTTGTTTAATTAATTATTGAGTGTACATTATAAGCATTTTTATACCGCTCAAACAGTATTTTTAATTGAATAATTCTCGTCCAAACGGTATATAGTTATTCGCCCAAACGGTCTATGCCCGTTCATACTGAAACCTTCAAAAATTCTTAAAAGTATATAAGCATTCATTTTTTACCAGACATTTAAAGTTTAAATTTGAACAAAAATACATATTGAAACTATAATAACGATTGATATTCATTATTATTTTGTTGTTATTCAAAAACATTATTTATGAGGACATACAAATTTTACGTGTATTGTTTATTATTATATTTTATATACATAATGATATTTTCAAATGTAATATTTTTAGAAAAAATGTATCCAACCTATAACTGTATAATATATACTACTAATAGTAAAAGAAATTACTTTACTTAATAAAAATATTAAAAAATATAACATGAAATATACTTATAGTGATAAATTCTGATGGACCGTCTTCGCTCAGAATAGTTTTTCGTATCTAAACAATGATATTGAATTAAAATTTAACATTTCTATTACAATAACCAACTTGACACTTTTTATAGCTGCAGTATTTACTTGCCATCCTATTTGATAATTGAGATTGTGTTAAAATCCCAACATTTCTTATTTTGATTTATTAAAATTCTTAAATTTTGGTTACTTATTTAAGCCTTATTTTTTTAAATAAAAAAGTTATTTAAAAATCAGTTTTCACAATGAACTAGAAAATAGAACAATAAATATTTTTACACTTCATTTTGAACGTGCAACGTCGTTTAAATAATTATTGTCATAACGGTCAGTGTCCCGCACAGCGATAACTACGAAATAAAAAATATTTTTCAAGTTGTAATTTATAAAAATTACATGTATGCGTTTAGTTTTCTCCCTAGCTTTTATTAAGCCATAACATAGTAAATCATTTTACGTTTATCTATTTTACTAAATTACTTTGTTATTTTTAATATTAGAGTGAATTTACTTATTCTATAAAATTAAAAAATTAAAATATTATCTAGAGTCCCGCGTAAGCATTTAGTATAATGAAACTATATTTAAGTCTTTAAATAGCTCAAAAAAAAATCAAAATTATTATAAAAGTATATTATGTGTCAAAAATTAAATTACTAGTATAAACATTTGATGCAAGACATATCAAATATCTACGGCTATTCTTTTTCGAATTACAACAAATTAAATAAAGTCAATTTTGTCGAAAATTAATTTTTCATAATAATCTATTTTTTAATTTTGATTTTCTCAAGATTTTCTATCAAAAAATATATTGATGTAAAAGATTAAAGTATTTTTACTGCTATAAAAAGTATATTCATATCTTCTCTTATTCTTTTTCACTAATATTTCATACACTTTCCGCGAAAGTCAAGTTTCTACCTTGGTTGCTTAGTTACATGTTAATCGATTTTTACTTGATAACTGATAGCTTATCGCTTGACAATAGAACACGTCATTCGACTTTAACCTACTTTACATATATAAAAATAACAGGGCAGGAAACAGGAAAAACCATTTAATTCACCATAGGTAAATTGCCCAGCAATGTATCGATTCACACTGGATGATGACTGATAGCTAAATTCAATTACAATTTTACGTACCAATATATATATTTAATAGAAAAAAAGAGTTTAAAAAAAACTTTATAAAGGAATTTTTTCTTTAGATGAATAATTTTTTGACACTCAAACATCATTCACGACTTCACTCTTTTCCGATCTACTCTCCCCGACCGAATTTCCGTTGAAATGATATTCACTTTGCTCACACCGAGTCATCATAGGTGGGTTGCAAATACCGAGATCGAGTTAAATCAGTCCTAAGTAGTATTATAATACTATTTAATTTGTTTAGTCAATAATTATATCTTAATACCTTATACATTAATTGAACGAAGACAATACATGCAGATGCAGGTACAAATTTTATTTCGACTATTAAGGAGTTAAATATATAGGCATTATGAAAAGTACTCTTGTACTAGTCATGCAGTTGAAGTGCTTATTAAAAATAAAAACTATTTAATTATTATTCATTTTAATATTTTATTTTGTATAGTATACGTGCAGGCTTATATCATAACACATAATATTTCTCCATTTATACAAATGTCACTCGGTACCACATTGTTATGTTCGAGAATATTTTTTTTTTCACTGAAGGTATATATTTTTGTTTATCATAAAAACTGTTCTATTTATCAAATAAAATTTTAGAAAACAGATTTGAATTAGTTATTAACCTTACTTTAGAACGACTTTCCCGCTTTTTTTCATTTACAATTTCAACTAATATTATAATTTATAATAAACGTTTAAATTATTCTAAAAATTTCTAAAACATTTAGTTTTAAAATGATAAGACATACCTAATGTCTATTAATCCTTCGCCATCTGTATTAATCGTCTGGTTTCTGCACAAATAATATGGTACACATATACATTGATCTGATGGCGGCGGTGAAGGTGGTGGTGTTGGAAACACTTCCGAAATTACTCTATCAATGTCATCTTGGCCAGAAACTGTAGTTATTGTCACTTGAAACAACAGCGTGACAAGCAACAATGCAGATGACTACAAACAAGGAACAAAATAAAAAAAATAAATATATTATTATTATAATTATTTATTGATTATTAAAATATATCAAAACAAGATATTTTATATTGAATTTTTAAAATTTAGGTATAAAAATAAAAGTATTTATGAAGTTCTAATTACAAACAATTTATACACATTTGCGATTTTGGCAAATTCTAAAATTCTAAATTTAAATACTAATAAAAAAATAATATGACTATAAATTTTCGATATTCTTTATTTGGAAAATAAACCACTTATTAGAAATCTAATATTTAATTTTCAAGTATTTTTAAATACTCATATTTTTTTAATTGACATTCATGAAAAAAAAAACTGAAAAATTTCAATTATATATAAATAGTTCAAAATAAGTCAAAATAATTCCATTCATAGAAAATGATAATATAAATACTTGATGAAAATTTCAGTTTTCTGTGTTAATTCATTTTTCAATCATAAAAAAAAATAAAGAACTCAATTACCTAAGTCAAAATCTATGTAAAAATTACCATTTTTTATTTGTTTTTTTCCGATTATAAAAAAAAAAGTAAATAATTTTATTTTTGGCTTCTTTAAAGTAAATTCAATGTTTTGTCCAAAACCACCCTCAAAGTTAAAAATCTAATCATTTTATCAACAACTTATCGTATACTCATATGTTTCATACACACAAAAAAAAAACCACATCATAGTCTAAAATAAATACATACATCGCTTCGCTCAGAATTCAAAACGTTTCTGATGAATTATAATCGATAATTTATGTTTTTTCATATGCCATGTAGCAGGTATTTTGAAAACAATCTGTGCTTAGAAGTTTCTAAACACAGAACACGATTATTTATGCTTAGTATAATTCATCTAAAAAATATACATATACGGGTATAAAATTGTTTCTGACACCACATTCTGTGATTTTCAAGGCCAAAACAAGTAATAGCATAATTATATTATTGCTATTTGTTAAAATTATATTTTTTACATAGATAATGTTGATTATTATTGTAAATTATTTTTAAAATTAAAAATAATAAAGTTTTACAAAAACATTTTTTATAATTTTGTTAACATAAATTATTATACAACATAATATTATCACCTACAAATAAATATTTCAGTCTCTGATGACGCAGTTTATTTCTACGTACATTTTCTTTCTTCATAAAAATAATGAATTTAATATTGATGTCTAAATATTTATACTTTTGATATTTAATTTTAAGTAGGTACATAGAATGTTTTTTTATTATTTTTTTTTTTTTTTTTTAATAATAAATACATTCAAACGTCAAATTGTGTTACTACTTAGAAACTTGAGTATAGTTGTTAATATCACTCATTTTCCAATAAAACCCATACGATTACTCACACTTTTGAATCAAAGTTATAATAGGTACCTACATGATTACATTATTTACATACATTATATATTAGATCTAAACAAATTTAATGATAAGTATTAGTATATTAAATAGGTATTACTAAATACTAAATAACCATTCAATCTTAGGTTGTGTACGAACAGGAAATTTGATATGATACTATTTAAATATTAAAAGTTCACTGACAATAATAGTTACGTAAAAAATAATATTTAATGAATCATACTTGCTAAAAATTTTCGAAGTTCTGTAGTTTTTCTTTACACTTGAAAAAACTATAATAATCCTAAAATATAACAATTAATTGAAAAATTACATTTTTCAAATTGGTAGATATTGTCACAGAAACAAATATCACTCCATAAATAATATAAATTATCAGACACCATAGGCAGCATTTGGGAGGAGGGACAAAGGGCAGTTGCCACCCAGAAAAAAAATATTTAGATCGTAAACTTATTATTTAAACAATTTTTACTTTTTATAAAATATTTATGTTGAAATTATATTTGTACAATTATATAAGAAAATTATTCTCCGTGTTAAGTCAAATCAATATTATCAATATTAACATAAAGTAATATAAAGTAATGTAAATTCTATAAAACTATGTATATTAATATAATATTATTATTAATTTTAAAACATAACATAACATATTACATTGATATTAATTGAAATACTCATGGTCTTATCAGTTATAAAATATAAGTATAGGTACCTGTATATATAATTTTTAATTTTTATTAAAATATGTACAATTTGTACTATTTAGCATAATAAGTGTATGTGGTGACAGAACAAAAATAAAATATAAAATATAAAAATATAGGAGTGTGAATTGTTATCTGCCCCCTCCCCCCGGATAACAAGAGACATTCAAGTATATAATAATAAAATAATGTTAGAAACTTTACGTTGAAAAAGTTAACATCAACACATAATTGGCAGTTCAAACATATTACAAGCAGAATGGATATTTGCCTGTATTAAATGTTCGTTATCCAACTAGGTCAGTTATAAAAATATTATGCTTTAAGTAACATTAAAAATAAATTTACTAGTGCTGAGTTATATGAAAAATTGATTAATTTAATAATTCGATAAAATTTAATGGTCCAATCATAGGTCACTAAACCATGTCTAAGGAATCATGAACTCAATGTTGTTTCTTTGTTGTTGGTTCATTGTCATTTAGTGATTGTTCATGCAATCCGGAATAGATATATTTATTTTACACATGATTTTTCATATGTATTATATTTAATTTATATTTTACTATCTAGATAAACTGAAATATAGACCTACAATCAGCAATTGGTTTAATTCCATTTTTTTTTTTTTTTTTTTTTTAACAGCTATTCATATAAGCAAATTATCAAAAATAATATATTTTACGAAAAAAATATGAATTTTAATAAACTGTGCATTATTCCTTACAAGAGATTCATTAAATATATATTATTCGACGTAATTTCTGGACTTCGTAAGTACCAATTACGTACCTTGATACAATATACACAATTCATAAAAGTATAATAAATACATTTGAAGGTAGGAGTGAAATCAGTACGACCCGTATCAGTTTTTACCAAGGTAATTATAAAGTTTATTTTTTTAATATCTACGAAAAACATAATATACTGATATAGTATATACTATACATAGTGATAATGTTATACAAGATTATGTTAGTCACTTAAATTTCACTTCCAGAACGAGCATGGACTGTGGACTTAATACATATTTTAAAATATTATCTTTCCATTTTAAGTTAATTCAATACCTATGCATCATTATTATACAGGTTTTTCACTTGGTCCGTGTCCACGCACGCTATATAGCAAAAAATATTACAAATTAAACAAAATGTATATGCTTTCACGGATAATTTGTCGTTTTAAAATATATCACCATTCTTATTTTAGATGCTGAATGGATTACTTTTAAGTTTTATTTAAAATTATTTTAATTGAATATTAATGCAATATTATTGATACCAAGTTTGATACTTTGCCAATAAAAAAATTTGATTTGATTTTACAAAATATTATCCTGAAAAAATCTGAAAAAGTAGTTTTTATAATTATTCAATACATGGCAATGCGAATTTATTTTATATAATTAGTAAAAAAAAACAATGAAAACATTTTAAATAAATATTTTAATATAATTTGTTTAGAGTTCATATTGTAAATTTTTAAAAGAATTTCAATTTTTTCATTTCCCTCATAAACATAACTAAATCGTAACATTTTTAAATTAAAACTATGGTACCAATCCGATAACGTGACTTACAAACAAATTTTTAGCCTAATAGTAGGTATTTATCTATATTTTTTATGATCAAGTATATAAATGTCAAAATAAAATTAAATACTAAATTTTAAATGTTATAAAAATATAAATATTTTTATTACTTTTTAGAATTATTTTATTTTCGTATTGAAAACATGATTGTATAATTCATCAGAAAATAAAAAAAAATAAAAAAATCTAACTGGGAACAATAAAACATTCACAAACTAAAAAAGTAGACAAGTAAGTACTGCTCTTTTATATAAATGTGTTAAGTTGGTCACTATTATGAGTGTGTTAAATTTGAAATTAATGATAAATTATTATATATGAAAAACAATTCTAAACGGAAACAGTCTTATTTTAGTTTTATTATTACGATAAAATGTTAATAAGTTTTCCGAAAATATTACATTTTCTATTATATTATAAATATTTAATTATTATAATAATATATATTTTTAACAGATTATATCAACTTATATAACTCAAAATGTAATTAAATCTTTCTGTAAATACCATAAAACAGTAAAAATGGATTTAAAGTAGGTACTATAAATAATAAATATATAATATTAATCAAAAAATATCATTGCGTATAATAAATATCATAATTAAATAATATACGTAATCTTTTTCATCGCATAAATGAATAATTTTACTCAAATTTGAAGCTTAAATGTCTTTAAAAAATAACTGTCATAATATATTTTTTAGATTTTATAGTTTCAATGTTAACTAGGTATTTTATATTAAATTTTCAAAACTTAAGTATAAAAAGAAAAGTATTTATGAATTTATAATTATAAACAGTTTGTACATTTTCGTAATTTTGACGAATTTTGCTGAAGTTCAAAATTTAAAAATGTATATAAAAAAAAAAATATGCCTATGTATTTATTTTTAATGTTTTAAAGCAGAATGAAAAACAATTTTTATAACATAAGACTTTCAAAAATTTTATCCATGCAAATATCTTTTTCGACATTTAAAAACATAATATGTTCATGCTAATAAATAGTACAAAAAAGAATCAAAATATTGTTGAAAATTTCAAGTACACATAAATGATTATTTGATTTTGAATTAAAACAAAAAATGAAAATTGTATATAATTATTTAATAGGTAAAAATCCGTTGTTGTAAAATTTTTTAAGTTTAAACGATCATAAAAATATATTTGTTTTTCCAATAGAAATTTATTTTAATAAAGTTTACATAACGTATAAAAAAACTTATATTCAATTTTTAAATCTTATGTATAAACAGAACTTTTTTATGAATTTCTAACTACAAAATAATTTTTATTTTCAAAATTTTGATAAATTTTTCAACATTTAAATTTAAATACTTATAAAAATAATGTGACTATAAATTTTTAATTGATAAATGAATTTTATTTTAATAGCTTTTGACTTAATATTTCATGAAAAAAACAGTAGCTAATTTTTTTTTTTTTGGAAATAGTTTTACTTTAATTTATATGCTATTTCTTAGAACTAAACAATTTTAAAAACTATCCTTAGATCATCTCAAAACTCAGTTTTAATTGTGTCAAAAAGGTATTAATACTTTCACCAATATTTTTATACTTTTAATTTCTATAAGTACTAGCCACCAAGCACTGCTACCATTTATTTAAAATTTTAACTATTCAAACATCAATTAGGTAGTACTGTTATTACTATTATAAGGCGTAAAAAGTATTGCATCACTTTATTATAGTTTACTAGACAAACAAAACCAACAATGGTATTTCAATGTGCCATTAAAACTAATACATGAATAACATTTTTTTTTGTCTGTCTACTGTTAAAAGTAAACACTATATTATAATATATTAAAATATAACTAAAAACTATTTTAATTCTAAGTAACAAAATAGAAGTATATAGACTGGTGAATATACTAAAATAAATAATTATAAATATGAACTCATAATATGCCTATCATAATTAATAAGCAATAATACCTATAGAAATCAATAATGACCTAAACTATGAAAAAACAACCTGTTTTATGTTGTATGTGGATATAATTATATTCTACATGTTAGAATCAATATGTACTTGTAATAGTCATACTAGTAACTATTTGTCTCCATATAAAATATATAAACATATTATATAGCAAGGGTGGCCAACATGAATAGGTTCGCGAGCCACATAGACCAATACGGCAATACGATGATACCAAGAGCCAAAATGTTTTTAGACACATTTTACATAATTTGGTAATTTTTTTATAATCTACTGCCTAAAAAATTAAAACTCATAGTAATATTAAATAAATTTTGATTTCATAAATAAGACGTGAGCCGCATCTGACAATGACTAGAACCGCATGTGGCTCGCGAGCCACAAGTTGGCCACCCACGTTATATAGTATAGTATTGCTTTATAAATAATAAATTTATTACCAATGATGATTATGATTTATGAAATATAATATTATCATTACAATTAGTACAGATACAAATTATTTTTATAGAATATGGTTATACAGCTAAAAATTATAATGTAAAACAAAATATTTTATTAAATTAATTTTTAATTTGAAGTTATTATTTATAAGATATTTCAACCAACAGACATTTAATAGTCAAGGTATATATGAAGACTCGATTAAAGTAGCAGATAATTTTAATAATTTTAGTAAAGTTTTATTTTTTATGTAATATGCTCAACACTTACTGTAAGACAAAGCAACACTTTCATTTTTTGATTTTTAAGCGTTGTTAATATTTCATCAATTATATAGGTAGTAAAGTTTCCATTTAATAGTTATAAATTACAATATATAGAAGTAAAATTACTTGAGCTGCTCTGTATACCTAGTACCTACACGTATCGCGGGATAAATTGTTTTTATTTTTATTTTACATATTCATTTATTTTCAATGAATAAGTGCATTATCATTATTACTTGTCATTGACTTTAGATAAAGTGTTATCCGCCGCTAGTCGTCGGCCAAAGAACATATTATAAATATTATAATCAATATAATCGATATCATAATAATGATAATAAATATATTTTCATAAGCATTTTTTCTAATGTAAACTGATTTTAAGTTTGATCAATTTTAATTTAAGATTTTCTTCTACATTTTTAATGATGGGATGCATAAGACTTTTAAGTACGATGAATACATCATTCTGGTGATTAATATGGAAATTAGTGCTATTAAAATTAGATACATGAATTACGCGAATAACAGTTCATGCAGTTAATACTAATGCTTTAACTATTAAAATTAAAAATTGTATTAATCTTTAACTACAAAATAATTATCAAATTTTCAGTGATCTTAACAAATGTTGACAACATTTTAACTTCAAACTTAAAAAGTCAAACATTTACATTTTCGAAAGGTATCTATACTTGAGAGTTACTTTATGTATAGAAAATCATAATTTAAGTATAAGTAGAATCTTTCAAGTTTCTTCAATCAATAATTTTGAATAATAGAAAGAAATAACAAAAATGTATAGAGCATAATAAATCATTATTATACATTTTAATTTCCAATATCCTCAAAATTTGAACCTTTGTTGTTCATTGAAAATGTACAAATGCGTCTTTACACATTTTTTTTTTTTTGCAATTCCTTAAAATAAGAGATTATGAGAAAACTTGCTTTACATTATATTACCTTAAATGTAAATAAGTTAAAAATACTATAATTTTTATGAATTAATAAGGAAGCATACATTTGAATTTTGAACACTTGTAAAAAAAATATCAAAATGTATTTTTAATAATATTTTTTATTGGAGGAACCATGAGTTAAATTGTCAATTCTTAGCTACAAAAATTGAAAATATTAACCATAAGTAATCAAACTATAAAAAATTTGAAAATTTTTACCTTTTTGTCAAAAATTTCAAAAACTCGAAAAGAAAAACCATAAAAGTTGAATATTGAAGCATTTTAACTACTGTTAAAACTGACTTTAGACAATAAAACTATGATCCATTTGATCTAGGTAACAAACTAATTATTGCTCCGACCAAAATCTAAGACATTTTAATTTTATTTCTTAAATTAAGGTAAAGCTTATTTAATGATTATCGTATAAACGTATTATTTTAATATACTAGGTATAATCTAATCTAAAATTTATAATATTTTACTATATGAAATTTAAAAACTACCTATACTTAAAATTATGTTTTTATTTCTCTAGAATATTTATAATGAATGTGTTAATGCTAACTGCGAAAGACGCGTATTAGATACACACATATACTTATAAGTTATAACACATTTAGGTAAAATATATATTAATGTATTTTTAATTTTAGTTGGTTCCATATTTGAACATAAATCATAACATTTAGTAAACTTCAAAATACATCATCAATTAAATTTATTTACTTAATTTATACCACACTACCATTATTTTAATATTATTACAGATCATAATCAGTATTTGATTTAATTCATGTTACGTTCGTGATAAATACATAATTTTTTAACACGCATTGTATAAATTTATTATTTTCCTATACAAACATGTAATTAAAATAATGATCGTTGATATAATTTATTAGGTTTAGTTTCTTGGCCAAATATACAATATGCTACGTGTGAATATTAGATAATAATTTCGCAATAAGAATTCGATTTCAGACCAAAAAGTGGTAACTATATATAACTAGATTTATAACACATCGTAATAGTCATATTTGTCAGTGTTTTTATACTTTTAAAATGTTGGTAACTTGATTGGAAAATATACATTATTTCAAGTTTTATATAATCTTTTAAATACATAGTATATTATTTTATTATAATCCTTTTAAACTATAAGATAGAAACTACTAAGCTAGGCGCCAGCATTAAAAATAAAAATTATATAAAAAAATTGCGTACATTATTTAACTTGATTTCAAATTGTAATATTATAATATAATACTTACCTAGATAAAGATATGGACAATTGTACATTTGAAATTTTGTACGAGTATAATATTAATATCTTATTATAAGTAATAGTATACGGTATACGAAACCCAAATAATTACTTTACAAGTATAAGTTTAATAAAGTATCAGATATGGGTACGTCTTATAGAAATTTGATATTATTTATTGTTATTGATGATTCATTCATCTCATTTAGTTATATTATTTTCAATATTAATATTTTATGAAGAAAATGAATGTCTTAGAAGTGCAGTGCACTTGATGTGATTTAACTATAGTACACCATTGTAAATACAAAATAATCTTTTTGAAACGATAAAACTTTAATAAATTTAAAAATAAACAATAGAAAATTTTCTTATTTTTGAAATGTCATTTCAACATGTGCTTATTGAATATTACATAATACTGCAACAGATGATATACATGGCAGTTATCATTTGTTACCTTCAAATATTAATATCACTTTTATATCAATACTCATTCTTTATCATAATTTTATGATTTTTCTACGACATTTTTGATCGTCTAGTTAATATTGTTTCGTGTACTATGATCATCATCCTTAGACTACATATTTAACTTCTACAGTTAGTCGATAACTCGAAAATCAATTTGTTTATTTTGTCACCGTATTAATAAAACTACCTTACTGGTTATTAATAGAAAAGTTTGAATATTTTCAATTTTTGGGGCATAATAACAAATAATATACAAACGTTTGTGAAATGATTGGTAAGTATGACAAATGGCGATCAGTTTTTAAAATGACATGTATTATGGTCAAATTAGTTTGATAAAATGAGAATGGGAATCTGTAAACTTTTATGCTGCTTACACAGCTGTTGTTTATGCGGACAATAAGACATCAAACCTTAAACTGCCGACTATTTAGTATTTATTCAAGAAAATGCCGATTGTTTATCAAATTTTGATTCCCCGGCCAGCTGTATGCGCGAATATAAACATAAGATTGATTTTCATTTAAGATGAATTGCCCAAGCTGTAATATTTTTTACATTTTTAACCTCACGTCTAACACTTTTCCTCGCATTTTCACGATTCAAATCGTTTACACATTTAAATGAAATCAAATCGGCAGTCGTGCACAACTGTAAAAGGTCGTAATGCACCAGCAATAAACAGTAATTCGGTATAAGGTCCCTATGTACGACTAACACAGAACCTAACCACCGGTCGCGACCCGTTAAAGCACTGAAAACCGCAATAACCGGTTGCACTGCAGAAAACCACGACAAGTAGGTTAACCCACCGACAGCTGTGGGTGGTATTTATAACATTATATATTTATCTGTGTTACACTGTGTTCGGTCACACAATAAACCGTCCCTTAACCAATACATGTCACTCACCGGCAGCGGCGAAAGTCTCTTGAGGGTCGGGCCCGACATGTCAACCGGAACGACGTCGATCCTATTCGAAAATGTTCGGCGCGCGCCTGCCGCGCGGAATACTCGCCGAGTAACGGGCAACCAACAAACGCGACGGACGGACTGACGAACGGTGCGATATCAAATTATTGTGATGTTTCCAATGCCGTGCGGGTAAACAGCGCACCGGACCGGGAGAAATGTGAAAACGACGGATAAATAATATCGTTGTTGTCGTTTTCGGCAGTCGTCGACAGAAAGCACTGGACTGCGGCGCGGGCGAACGTCTGAGGGATGGGAGTGGGGCGCGATGCCGTCCTACGGGAACGTACGGCGGAACGGGTGTGATGGACGCGAACGGTCGCGAGCGTAGAGTGCGCGAAAACCGCGGAAAACCGGTGCTGGCGATCCGGTCATCCTCGTATCGCGTTTCGGGGAGACCGTGCGCGCGCCGCTGGTCGCCCCTCTTCTTCCCCCCGTCGCCATTGACGGTTGCAAACCACACCACGCCGCAGACCGGTGACCGCGGAATGTATATATGTATAATAATAATTATATTATTCACAAGACAAGTAATTTTTTATTATTATGATATGTACGTATAACAGGATTTCTAAAGGTCATCCAAGCACATCATCATCATCGATATTATTATTATTATTATTATTAAAATTATTAATACACGCGAGCAACAACAACACGATAGCATAATATTATCGTTTTGTACGTCATGACGTCGCGGTCGTACCGTCAGCGGCGAATTTGTGGAATCGCAAAAGATAATGATTAATATTATTATTCCACATTTCAATTACAATATGTTATTATGTTCGTGACGACGAGCAAAAATATAAATTATTGTTATTATCGTTAAACCGGTCCCGGAACGGTGGCGCTGCGAAAAACCTCTCGTCGCCGCCGAAGGAGACCTTGCGCGGAGTGCCGTGAGTGTGCCGATCGGTGCGCACAGCACATCGCCTCGGGCAATGCTACGTCACGGGCCGCCGTTTCAATACGTCTTTTCAAGGTAGAAAACAGCGATTCGTAATACCCACTCATACTGAGAGTGTTCGCCACAGACACTAATTCCGCCGATACGTACGAGACGCACATTCAATAATATTATCGTTAAAGTTTTGTTTTTTTTTCTTATACACGTATCCCCAAGTACCCATCAATTATGTTTGATTTTTACGCAGCTGTAATCGTAATTTTATACGTGCAAACTGCAACGTAAACAAGGAAAAACGTGCTGAACAGTGTAGGTACCACTACAAAGCACGACACAAGCTCATCAACAATAATGTTATTGATCTCCGCACAAATCTTCCTTTTACCCAGCGTTTCATAAATTTTGATCGGCAGTCTCCCCCACCCTTAAAGGTACATGAACGTAAATCGAAAATATTATTTATAAAAATGAAAATACCAATGTAATGTTTGTACATCACACTGGAAAATATACTGTTAAATATATAAATACACTGTCGAGTTTAAGACAAGACTATCCAAAAACATCAGAAATAGCATTTAGAATATCGATGCTTTTTTTAAAAAACGTACTACTGTGAAAAAAGATTTACTTTTCGTGTAGATATGCACTAACAATAAATATAGAAAGTGATTACTGATTATAAATAGAAATAGATTTACGAATCCAACTAATTTCAGACGGTTATACGTATTTCCTAATTTACCCGATTTAGTATCAAAGAAACAACACTATACCCATCAAAATTATTTTTATTATTTATTGTTGTTTTTTATTTTTATTAAGGAGTATGGCGATCACTTTTAGTATCTCTAAGAGGTCTGGCGGAAGAAAAGTTTGGAAAACGCTACCCTAATACCCTATACGAAAAATAGCATGAAAACGAAAACCTATATACTCGTACGACAATACCAGTTTTAGACAAAGTTGATAGTTTTTTTCAGCTCTATCGACTATTTATAAAAATGATTAATTTTTTTTTTTATTTATGTCCATTATGTAGTACTTATTTTTGTTCTTGGTTCAAAAGCTTGACAATTTAATACAAGGTTCTTTATAAAACATAAATTATTTTTAATACAATAATTTAACAAATAGAGTACTGTGGTGCGGCGTGGTCGATATTTAGTGTCGATTACAGTCTATTATATCTTAATTATACGTAGGTATACAATTTATATAAAACGTTGATATTAACTTATAACACTCAATAATAGCTATAGTAATATTACACAAATAATTATTACTATATAATAAAATATCTAATTTGATTTTTGAAAATTTTATTTTAATCTAATACCGTATTATTTACAAAAAAATTTAATTACTACTAGTACTCTCTACTGTTGCCCTGATAGAGCGAACTAAGTACATAGGTATACATATAAAAATAAAAAGGAATAATTCAAAAATATTAATAAATAATAATCTGTATTATTATAATTATAAAATTATAATATTAATTAATAAGTTATAACGTATTGAACATAAATAAATTTATCGAGAAGGTTAGTTAGTCAGTTATAACTATTAAGTACTTATACACATGGAAATCAAAAACTATTTACATAATTTTAGAAATAAATTTGCAACAAACAAACATTTAATGGTGATAAAATACCAATAACCAGTTTCACGCATATTAAATAATAGTAATAATAATGATTATTTCCTTTTATGTTAATTTTAATCTAGGTTCAAAAAATATAATTTATATACAGTGGAACCTTGATAACTCGAACTTCTATAAGTCGAATTTTCGATAACTCGAATTTTTTTTTTCGCCTCTAACCAATTCGAGTTATCGAGGTTCCACTGTATTTTCATGGTAAACCATATTGTACGATCAAGTTAACCTGATTGGGTTACGAACTACGACTTGAAGAAATAACAAATCATGAAATAAAATACTAACCAATTAAGTGAAAGTTTAAAACACTTAATATAAATACAGTATTACAAATTACAATCTTGCTTAGAAGCATAAGCGTGCGCAGACTTTGTCCGCAGGGGGGCCCTATAAAAAACTCCTTAATAAGGTCTGAATCAAAGATTCTTATACTAACTGCTGGTGTAATTAATAGCCAATAGAGCCCGGAACTTGATGCATTTCCATTTTTTTTTCTAATGCGTTTATACGAGGGTTGGCTTTACAGAAATGTATGTGGCTTATTTTGTGTAAAATTCAATGAAACCATTTTTATTTTATATTATTTTAACAAAACTAAATATTTGAAAAAACTAACATATTGCGTAAAGCCCAATCTTTCCATTACTTTTCTATAAATACAGATTTATTCTTGTTATTATTTTGTATTACAGACGATATTTCTTAACTCCGTTTTAAATTTAATTTAGGCCCTGAATCTGTAAAAAAAAAATCATATTTAATGTATGAAAATATTAGCATTGTTTAAATTCAGATGAATAAAATAATAAACGGATAATTAAAAAATATTATTTTAAAAATGACGATTTTTTGATGATTTATTATTAAAAAAAACTTAATTTTTGAAAATATTGTGTTATTTTTGGTATTTTTTGATGTTTATAAATCATTTTAATACTTTTTTAAGTGCATTTTTAAAGGTTTTATAGATCATAACGTTCCGGGCTTTATTAATTAAATATTTATTTGTTAATTTTATAAAGTATTTATTTAATTCAATATGCAAATATAAAAATAAATACTATTTAAAGGTATTAAAATACATAATAATAATAACAATAGATTTTTATAACCTATTAAAAAAATCATTATATCTTACACAATTTATAAATAAAAAATTCATATTTGCATAGTTATTTACAACTCCATCCTTCTGTCACCGATGTAAGGCTTTTGTATGTATCAATTACATCATCAATTTTTATAATATATTGTTATTGTATATGCAAGTTCTTCTTTTCACTCATTATAAAAGTTTTTTATTTACTAGGTAATTAGGTATAACTTATTACAACCGTAAAATAACGTAAATATATAAATAAAATAGTTGAAAGCTACACTGTAATAAAAATAATAAGCCGCTAACTGGGGCGTATGTAATTTGCGCCAAAAAAAACCAAAAAAATAAATTATATCATTTGCGCCACATCTAAAAATTAATTTTGGTAATTTGTGCCACTTTTTAAGTTTGTAATTTGCACCAAATAAAACTAAATAAAAAGGCATTATATAATCTGTACCATTGTGTACCTACTAAAATTGTAATTAGCGCCACTAATATTAAAATTATAAATAAATATATGTAAGTAAAACAAATTCCATGTATATTAAATAAGTAAATTTTCGTTTAGTAATAAAATATATAAAAATCAAATAAAAATTATATTGGACACACGTCGGTACGTATTATTGTATATCCTATGCGATATCAGTAAATTTATCTGCTGGTAAATTTCAACTACAATTGAAGTTGGAAGTGTAGCGCAAATTACATATTCAATTTCGTTTACTGTCGTGGCGCAAAATACCAAAATTAATTTGTTTATGTGGCGCAAGATACTGTTATATTTTTATATTTTAGCACAAATTACATACGTATTTAAATTTACCTATTCGTGACCCAAATTACAAGTAATAAAATTAGCAAAAAATACCATCTCCCGCTAGCTGATATTAGAGTGGATAGTAGAGTATTCTGTGATAATAAATCGTTTGGTCGATAATAACTGATTAATTAATAACGTTATTATATTTATTCACAGATATCCATAGTATAAGATTAAAACTGGTTTCACTTTTTTCATGTAAAATGTAAAATTTTTCGCTATCTAATATGGTATAAATATCTATGCATTTATTAAAGAAAAAGTCAGAGACCACAGAGGGGGGCTGCGGCTTATCACCCTCCTCCATGCGCACGCCTATGCTTAGAAGATATTATTTACCATGAGTTACTTATATTGAGTTTTGCATTTAATTTAAGAACAACAATATTACTATTCATCTAAAAATATTAGATTGAAGCATACATCAACAGGGGATAAAAGTAATAAGAAATTTAATTCAACTATTTAGTCTCGCATATAAATTGCATTACTTTCAACTTTATTTTTATTACCAAACAAATCGTACAACTGTACAAAGATTTTAGTAGATAATAATAACTGATGATAGAGTATACATGTTTTCTAAAATCACTAATGATTAGATTATGTGATTGCAGAGTGCAATATAAATCATCATGTATCATTTTTGCTAATGTATATTTTGTAAGTGCGTTTACAAACGTCACAAACATCATATTTTGTTTTAATTTTTAATATATAATTATACTTAATATTTAGGATTCAAAGGGACTTAATATTACTCTTGTCTCTTATGTAAAAATGATCATAAAGTAAAACATACATTACTTACCTATCCTTTTTCTTCAACGAAGCCTAAA